GTATATTCTATAACCTCGAGTACTTGAGGAAACTAATATAATTTTGATGATATAATAATTATTTTTTGCTTAATATACACATTAGTATGTAATGTTAAAATATATGAAGTTAACATGATGTAGTCTAAATTCATTTGTTTTTGATACTCAAGACAAAAGAATGACTTTATTTATGAATCATACTTATGTGATTTATTTAGACTCTTAGGAAGTTTGCTTCAAAAATAGTTATTATACTATATTAACATTGCCCTTTTGTTTTACTTATTTACTATTTCTTAATATTTCAGTATTTTAGACAAAGAAAAGTTCTTATGACTTGCAATAACGCAAGTTGAAGTTTGTATTAGTTTAATTTTTATTATGTATTTAATAGTTAATTTTGTGAGATAATATTTTCATTAATTCATATACTTATATTTGGGTAGGTATTTGTATTTAAATTAAAGTATGATATATGTCACAAATGTATTATCAAGTTAACAAGATCTTCTAAATTCAAATTATATTATTTTACAATGTTCCGAGTTATTTTTTTTTAAAAAAAAACTCACAACAAATGTGAAAATATGTGAATATATAAAATGTAGTTGTTTTCTTCACATGTTCATATGACAATTTAACGTAGAATACACATGCAAAGCACATCTGGTTAGATGACAAGAAAAATACAAAACAAATATCGTCTACAAGGTAATATTAGTGAGATAAGACTAATTACATGATTGAACCTCATCAAATTGAAATAATTATATCCATAATTGCATCTAACTAATAAATTTTTTTATTTACCATCATCATAGTTTGCGTGAATAAGAGATATATATGACAATCCACATTGAAAATTCACAAAAAAATCTGCATATTATTTTTTGCTAAACTTAATATTCAAATCTTCGCTTAAATAAGCAATACTATTTACTATAACATATATTTTGAAATTGGTAATCGCGTGCAACGCACGTGTCAGAAAACTAGTATTACTAAAAGTGTGAACAAAAAAAGTTAAAAGTTGAAATACCATTTTACCCCTACAATAAATAAAAATATTATGAAATATCTAATCAATTAAATGTTAAATAGTAATTATATAATATTATTATTATATTACACTAAATTCGAAAAGTGAAACGGTATTAAGTCAAAAATACAAAGAAATAATTTTCATAGAAAATTATTAGACATTTTTGTCCTTTTAAAAAATAAATTAGTTACATTTTTAGTTAAAAGTTGAAATACCATTTTACCCCTACACTAAATAAAAATATTATGAAATATCTAATCAATTAAATGTTAAATAGTAATTATATAATAATATTATTATTTTACACTAAATTCTAAAAGTGGAAAGGTATTAAGTCAAAAATACAAAGAAATAATTTTCATAGAAAATTATTAGACATTTTTGTCCTTTTAAAAAATAAATTAGTTACATTTTTAGTTAAAAGTTGAAACACCATTTTACCCCTACACTAAATAAAAATATTATGAAATATCTAATCAATTACATATTAAATAGTAATTATATAATATTATTATTATATTACACTAAATTCGAAAAGTGAAACGGTATTAAGTCAAAAATTCAATGAAATATTTTTCGTAGAAAATTGTTAGACATTTTTATCCTTTAAAAAATTAAATTAGTTACATTTTATTTTTTTAAAATTGTATTTATTTTTATTTTTATCCTTCAATTTACTTAAAATAATCTATATATCATATATCATATGGCTACTTAATTTGTTAACTATTAATAATTTAATTACATAATATCATATATGAAGCCCAACAACTATACTTTATTTCTTATGTTATGACATTATAATTATAATCGATTAGATTAATTAAATTAATTAAAGTAGAAGACAAATCAATATATGAAACTCTTCCAATTCAGTGACTCTTTGAATTTTGAAACCAATTTTTTTTTTCATGTGTCATGATTCAATGTGTCTCATTATTGAAACTCTTCAATTCAATGACTCTTTGAATTTTGACACCAACAATAAAATGTATGTGCCATAATTCAATGTGTCTCATTATTGAATTTTGATAGGTGAAAAGACAATTAAATATCATTATAAATACCAATAAATTATAGCCACAATTTGCTTGTCCCTAGATCATAATATTCTTTTCTTTTTTGTCATCTACAGTTTTCTAATCTTCTTCCTAGATAATGATATAACATATAGTCAAGAAGCTAACTGAGGAGAAGAACGGATGACATCATTACGAAGTTAGCTTTCTTACAATAGAATAGTTAGTATAAGAGATGAAATCATGAAAAAGAGAAGTTTTCTTACTGCATAATAGTTGAACTTAGAAGTATAGAAGAGGGGACCTATTCATTGAGATCTTTTGTTTATTAGCTCATAATTTTAAGTTTTCATTTTCATTTTCATTTTGGAGTTAAGGTATTGTTGTCCAAATTAAATTTGGTATGTAATCCACATTTTTATGTAATTCTTGTATCATTTTGCATTGTTGTGGAAATTTTACTTTTATTTGTCATTGTGTTATTGTTCTTGTAAGTGTTACTTAATCGACAAAACATCTATTAATGTATGATGAGTTTGATAATACTTGAATAATTTATGCAATATGCTTAGATATCCATATTGTCAATTGTCTAAATTCAAATTAATTTAAATAAAAATTGCTAAAATATTATTACTTTGAATGAAAAATTTTAATTGTGTAACTTTATCGTCTATCTAATATATTGTTGCGAACACATACATATTTGTTCATTTTCACCCTTTTTGTTTTATTTTTAGTTTTTCTACAATTTGTATGAATGAGATTAACAACTTCATTTTTAAATAAAAATGAGAGTTCCATTTATATTTGTGCGACACTAAGCCTAATAATTTTCTTAAATATTAGCAATTTATATTGGTGGTAGTTTTCTGCAGTGTTAAAACTCAAATGATTGGTGTGATGACAATTTTGATTTTGGACATTTTGATTGCAATATTGTAAGAATGGAGTAATTAAGCTTCGTTTTGTTTAGATTTTAGTAATATAAATCAACAAGATTATTCAATATTCTACTTGAAGTATATTGTTCAAGAGTAACATTATATCGTCTTTTGCAATTGTTTTATATTGTTGCAACATATATTTTCACATGGAAAATTGTATTTTCACTTACAAATTCGAAACACTTACACATGTATGTTGTACTATTATTCATGTCATTTTAGAAAGTTTGAAATACTTGATAGGAATAAACGCGCAACACACATGTCCACAACTAGTGTATCTAATAATATAAAGAGACATTAGCCTATTCCATTATGTAGGGAAAAAAATCTCCTAAATTTGAAGAGATAAATCCTTAGTAAGCCACATAGGAATCAAGCTTATTCCAACGTCCATTGAAGCTTAAACACGTATGTTGAAGTCGGGGTCGAAGCTAGATTTAGTATTCTGTTGTGTCGGAGCTAGACTCTTCACACTACGGCTAACTCACTTATTCTTTAATTTCAAGCCCAAGTGGTATAACAAAGTGACGATTCATGACAAGGGGGGCTTGTAAATACTTGGAGGAAGAATTGCTAAAAGTGGAAAAAGATGTTGATTCAGTGGAACAAATTGAGTTTAACAAGCATGGAAGCAAATCTGCAGAACAAGCAGCAACTGCCTCACCAGAAAAAAGTACAACATTTGACGAAAATACTATTGTTGGGATGGAGGATGACTGCAACACCTTACTTGAACAACAGACGATTTAACTGTTGTACCAATTTTTGGTATGGACGGTATAGGTAAGATAACTCTTGCCAAAAGAATTTATAATGATTGATCATAAATTCCTTCTCGATTAATAAACATGCATGGGTCACTATCTCCGAAGAATACAATGAGAGAAAAATGTTTCTTGAAGTTGTGTCTTCAATTAAAGGAAACAATCAAGAAATGAGCCGTGATCAACTAATGGAGATTGTGTATAGAGGTATGAAGGGTAGGAGATTTCTAACTGTCAAAGATGATATATGGAGTAGTGAGGCATGGGACCAAATGCGAAGAATATTTCCAAATGATCGATGTCAATAGAAATCGAATTGTATTAACCACTCGGCTCAAGTATGCTGCTGATTATGTGAGATGTCATGATTTTTCACCTTATAGAAAGTCTTTTATAAGTCTTGATGTCCTGATTTTTCACCTTTATTTCAATGCAAGCAGATATTCCAAAACAAATGTTTTACAGTTCAAATTGCTTAAGGTATTGGATGTTTTTTCAATTGATTAATATGATTTCTCTTGTGTAATACCTCAGCTTGCACATTTGAGATATGTTTCGAAGAGAAATCTTTGTCGAATCGACAGGGTTGATATCTGAAAAATGTCAGAGATAAGACGTTTTGATATTGGATCGCCACTATATATATCTTATCCTCTTGCTGTGGAAATCATAAGAATAACTCGCAATCTAATCTCAAGGAATTCCAATTTAAAGGTACTTGTCTACCATGGGAAGTCATGACTTTGCTGGCTAATTTACCCAATCTCCAAGGGTTCCCTCGAACAGATTGGACACTAAATGAAGATGTTGTGTTTCACAAATTAAAATATCTACGAATTGTAGAAGCAGATCTGCAAGGAGGAGACTCCTCAGACGTTTGTAATATCATTGATAAACTAGAAATTAATATGTAATGCAATTCAAAGGATAAAATCAACATGGCAATGGACTAATAACATAACATATATAATTAAAATTACTAGAATCATAACGGATAAACATTACATGATGAACACAACACTTAGTACTGACTTCAACTGAATAATAACTGATGAACACAACACTTAGGATAACTCAAATGACAAATGAACCTAGACATTTAATATAATATTTTATTTTCGACAATTCCATAACGTGCGCACTAGGAATGACGGCTGAACTAGTAATTGGGAACTATGGAAGAAGTAGATCCACTAACCCTATTAGCAAAAGGTCCACCAACATTGAGTCCATATGAAGAACTTTAGCTAGCACAATTTGGTGGAGTCCTGGCACTTCCCAATGTCTGAAATGGGAATGCATTATTATTCACCATTTGTGCCTCTTTTTCAACCTTTTGCTTCAGAATTTCCAATGCCTTCTTCAAGTGTTGAAGTTGGAATAAGTTAAGTTCTTCCATGGGAGATTCCCACCATACACCATCAGCTCTCTCCCTAATTTCTTGAAGGGATTCTCCGCGATTTTTCTCCATCTGGAGAACCCCCTCGAGGTTCATGATCGTGGTATTGAGCTCACGAATACCAGCTTCTCTAAGAGCCACGATTTGTTGATTCTGGACATCATTATTTGGTGGAGGGAGGTTCCCAAGGAACCTCTCCATCAACGTGTCCACGCTAGGGTGACCAAAGGAGAAAACTTTACTGTCCGGGGAAAATATAACAATGGCAATTTCAGCACCACATAGCGTACAAAGTTCACTAGCCTTTTTGAACAGACCAGCACGACGCTTAGAAAACGTAACTCCTAAGTTTCTAGCATTCTTTATTTTCACCATGTCAACCCTTTGACGACCCTTGCTAATTCTTCTTGTCATGTCTAAACTATCACTAAGAAATTGTGATTTTTTTTTTGATCTTAACACCAAGAGCTTTATATAAGAAATTGTGTTTTAAAATAACTTAACGATATAGACGTTAATGATTATAATTAGACAATTCTTTTTTTTCCTAATTAGATTTATATTATTGGATTTCATTTGAACTATTTTATTTGAGAACAATTTCGGAAAAATAGTTATATTAAATGATTAATAAAAACCTTTTACTTTAATAATAACACCAATTTTGCATTTACCATTGAAGTTTCCTAGTCTCGATCCTCATTTATATATTTTTCCTAATTAGAATTATATTATTGGATTGCATTTGACCGCTATTTCAATATTTTTTAAAAATATATTAAATGCTTAATAAAAACCTTTGATTTAATAACAACACGAATTTTTCATTTACCATTGAATTTTCCCAGTCGATCACCATTTAGAGATTTTTCCTAATTAGAATTATATTATTGGATTGCATATGGCCTCTATTTTATTTGAGAACAATATTTTTGAAAAATATATTAAATGATTAATAAAAACCTTTTACTTTAATAATAACACCAATTTGGCATTTACCATTGAATTTTCCTAGTCGATCATCATTTATATATTTTTCCTAATTAGAATTATATTATTGGATTTCATTTGACTGCTGTTTTATTTGAGAACATTTTAAAAAAAAAATTAAATGATTAATAAAACCCTTTTATTTTGATAATAACACGAGTTTTGCATTTACTATTGAATTTTCCTAGTCGATCATCATTTAGAGAGATACAACTTATCACATCGGCGGGGGTTTGGATTTTTAAATGTTATTATTATTTATACCATGTTACTCAAGACCTAATTAAGTAGGCTTACAAATCAGATCATGATATGATCAAGTGCTTTCTGGATCGTCTCTGACCTTCTAATTGGTATTTATCTCCAAAATGCTTATATATATATATATATCATGTGGTGATATATTTGCCTTTTCAATTTGTAAATGCTAAACAACTCACATTCAAATATTATATTGATTTGTATTGGATTTATTAACAACAAACAACTCTCTCTAAATAATAAAATTTGTAAACTTATTTATTTAAATAAATTTACTAGTACAAATATATAATATAAAATGCAGAAAATATATAAACCCGTTAAAAGGATTTGAGGGGTATTTTTGTCTTCACATAGATTAATACCATGGTATTAAATTCTATGTATTCCTAATATCACCAAATGTAAGGTATTAGTTATACATATAACTAATCCATGAATTAGTTATACCTAGGCCCTAAATTTCTACCAAAAATAGTACTAAATAATACCATACAAATACATAGGCCCTAAATTTCTCCTCATATTCCCTACACTCCATTGAACTATGCAACAACTTTGAATAAAGTAGAAGACAAAATCACAACGCCTATCCCTATTAAATATATTACTTAAATCCATGGAGAGCCAACTGTATTATGGGAGGAAGAAGAGGTTGAGACCATAATCATTAAAGAAGATTTACCGTTTGCCATAATTGGAAAATTTTCTTTTGGCTGGTCAGAACTAGAAGAGATCTTAAAATTGGTCCTTTACTGTGTGAGATTCAAGGCGGAATGTAAGGCAAGATTCTTGAGTGATAGACACATCCTAGTTCGCCTTACTACTATGCAATATTACTTGAATGTCATGTCAAAAATCGGCATATTTTTTGAAGGCTAAAGATGGGTATACTATCAGATGCGACCTCTAAATTGGGAACCCTAGTTCAACCCAGAGGCGGAAACTACTACTGCCTTAGCATGGACCTCTGTTTCATCCATATCACCTAATTTTTTCGTTAAAGAATCCTTGTTTACGATGTCCAAAGCAGTGGGAAAACAGTTAAATGTTGACATGGCTACAATAAGAAAATCTAGACCTAGTTGTGTCAAGGTAAAGGTTGAAGTCAACTTATTGAAAGAATTTCCAAACGGATCAATGTTGGAGTTAAGAAGACATCTTTTGGGGAAATAATCTCAACATGGATATAAATCTTATACGATTACACGCCAAATTATTGCAAATATTGCAAACTTTACGGCAGGGGCATGATTTTCATCGAGGGGTTTAAAAAGATAAGTAAGCAAGTTGGTCGGGGAGGGTCAAATATAACGGGTCAGATTCGATAGAAGTAACTAAATAAAATTCAACTATACCTCAAAACAAACAATAAAATCGAGGAAGTATGTGTTTGACATAATGTTAAAATGAGTATGAGAGAATGTATTTTTAAAATTTTTAATTGTGGTCTTGTCTCCATCATTGTTGTATATATATGTTACTAATATACGTATCCACGCAATGCACATATAATATTAATATAGTATTTTTATTTATTTTTTATTGTGATATCTTGTTTGAGTATACTAAATCATATTACCTTACAAAAGTCCAACTATCTTATTGTTCCTCATTAATGAAATGTAATCCCTCCCCCTCTGTCTCCCCTCTGGCACGCCTCGAGCCTACACCCTGGACGTGACCGGCACTCTAGAACCATCACTGATCCCAAGCGAATCCTTGGCCTTGCTTAGTACTAAGGGGAAGACATTACTCAACGATAAGAACTTCAAATGCAAAGATTAAACTCAATTGTCTCAACTATTGATAAACTCAGAAACGTCTGGAAATATTCAAATAGCCATAAGAAGGCAACTCAAGTCTCCAAAAATTAACAAGGGAAAGGGAAAAAGACTCCTCAACTACTATTGTCTATGAAGCCTCTAAATACTACGATAGATGTCAGCAAAAGACCCACAATATCTTAATAAATCTAAAGAATGTAAACGTGGAACCCTCGGAAAGAAAAGAGGTATACCAAAGATAGCTAGAATGAAATGGGATCAATGAAGTTCTTGTTCATGACCCTGAACATCTCTACATGTTTCATAAATAAGATGCAGATCGAATGACGCCAGTACATTGAATGTACGAGCATATAATGGGAAAGTTGAAACATAAGCAATTGAACTAATACTCTAGGAAGACAAAGTAATTCCAAAATCCATCCTGAGAAAAGATTCCAAACAAAATGAGAATAAAAATGCAAGAATACGAAAAATCTAATATCGGTGTGAGAGTATGTGTCACGACCCAGACCATCGTGATTGGCAACAACACTAACCATCTGGTGGGAGAACCATTACTACAACCCAGACTAAACAACTTAACCATAAACTATGCATTTAAAATACGGAAGCAGGTTTAAATGACTATAAAAATGGAGTCCCCATAAACTCCAAGGTTTTAACAAATAACTAACCAAACTAATGGCGAAGAACAACCCCTAGAACCTGAAAGTCAATGTACCAAAACTTTACTAACGACAAGTCTAAGAACAAGGGTACAACCCCGAAGCTAAACAAAATGCCTTAAACAAATAGTCTCAGTTCGAAAAGGGTGGACATAAACAGGAGAGATCCATGGCAGCCTAAAAGAACTGTCTCACGCTTGAATCCGATCGTGCTCAATAGTCACCAAGCCGAGGTCTATCAATAGGCGCCTGAAGATGCCCTGTACTCAACAAAGAACAAACATGTGCAATATCAGTACACAACCACAGTCTACTAGTAGGATCACACGGCTATCCCAATAAATGTAACATACATTAGTCAATGCAACAATATAATCACAATCACATATCGAACATACACAATATCATCAACATATACGAACAATGAACAACTTCACGAATCTCACATATCATAGTTATATCAATTTAGAGCAACATACCGTTTTCAAATATCAATAATCATTAGATATGAACGAACTCATCACAAGTAGATATACAACACAATTCAATGTTCCTCTCTTGAAACCCAATTCAATGGCCCACTAATGGAACCCACACCCAAATAGTTAGCATATCGGAACGTGGTATCCGATCCAATAATTATAACGGAATATGGCAACCGATCCCATAATTATGCCAGAATGTGGCAACCGATCCAAGTTAGCTATGCCGGAACATGGCGACCGATCCAACTTAGTTATGCCAAAATGTGGCAACTGATCCATTCAACACACCACAATCACAATCACAAGTATATCCTCAAGATCATACATTTAATTCATGATTTCATGGTAACCATCATTCATCTATCTCATTTACAACAAGTGTTATCAATAATGCAACATTCATATACATAAATGTATCATAAGGAAGCAAGAACAAGCATACATCACACAATCATAGAATCACAACCATCACCTACGTCGAATCCAAGCTTGAATACCCTAAGGCACTTAATTCTTCCCTTTCCGGATTTTTCCTGCTTGTTCGTGGTCTAAAAACATATAATTAACGCAAGGAACAATAAACAAGGCCTAATTAGTCGGATTATAATCAGCATTATCAACCCTAGGCCAACCCAACATCCCAATACCCAAATTAGGGCTTTTTCCACCATTAACTTCAGATCAAAACCTTTCCCCAATGGTAATTACCTCAGAAACTACGTTCTACGGATCAAAATACGTATTCAAGGAGTGAAAACCTTACCTTTAGCCTTGAGAATGGTGAAAAACGGCCAAGAACTCATCTGGGGTCATTCCTTAGCTCTCAAAGTGCAAAATAAAGACGTTTTGGGGTTTATTTACGACCTTAAGTCGCATCGGACCTGCCATAGCGTTCCTCACCCTGCTACAACGGCCCCGCCCTTGCGGCAACAATCCCGCTCCAGCGGCTTGCACAAAACCAGTGAGCTATTTTAATAATTCCAAGACCCCCATTTCATAACACACCTTTAACCAACGACTCTCAGAAAATACCGTTCACGCTAACATTGATTTCGGGAGTTCTACTCATCCGAATTAATTTCTGTAAAGACGTACAGATTCCTTAACGTCTTAGCTATCTACTTATGCGATCAAACTTATAGTTAGATCACCCAATTGCTACCAGATTTCCCTAGACCTTACTGACTTCGATTTCATTCAAATCTGGACTAGGCTAGGAAATC